CCTACTCAGCAGCTGAACTCAGGGCTTGACTCCCTTTCCTACCTCCTTCATGACTTCAGTTTCCCTTTAGGAAAATGCCTGGGTTGTGCTTCCTGCTTACCATGGCAACTGGCATACAAATTGAGAGAGAAAACCATGTTTGTTGAACTCTGGAATTGTTGTTAGCCAGAGCCAATTATGAGTGCTGTATGAGAACCAGTATTTTCCCATTCTTTGCGCCACAGAGTCTCGCAATGACTTGGCCATAAGGCAAGGGGAGAACCTCAGACTGGCCCACAGCATTCCCATGGTTACAAAAATTAGAAATTAGGCCAAAGGGACACTGCAGACCTGCTCCTGCTGCACTGGCACTGTGCCCTAAATCAGGGTGCTTGAACACATGGCAGTGCCTGAACACTTTCAGCCAGTTTATTTTGCCTGCCTGACTCAGGGCAGTACCCTGTGTAGGTTGTATTGGAAGCCATAGCTACAACAATTTGGATACTTTCAGCTAAGCCAAAACCAGAATTAAGCAAGTTCCCAACCTGGCTGTTAACCAGGAATCAACCTTAGCCAGCACCATGGAGCATTTGACACTGGTGTTTCGTGCATCCCCAGTGCAACCTAGGAGTCCAGCAGCTCTGGACAGCAGGACATCCCACTGGAATCCCACTGGAATCTCACTGGAATCCCACTGGAATCCCACTGGATGGGGGTAAAGGTCAGCTGGCAGCAAAGGGGAGGCAGGCAGTGCAGGGAAGGGAAGGGAGACTGGCACAAGGCACCACCACCAACAAAAAGAACAGAATTGTAACAGCCAAGAATAGAGAAATGAACTCAGATTTCTGAGTTCATTTTGCATCTGGACAGAGTAAATTATTCAAAGAACGTGCCTCACCACAAGGGTAAAGGATGAACAGTTTCAGTGTTAAGGATTAGGAATGAATGGGATCTGCAAAGCTCAGATCTGCCCGAGTCCTGATGCCCTCAGAAGTTAGACACAGTGTGAGTGTTAACACTTGAATGTTTGCCTCACTCCATAATGAAACATATTTTTGTATGTCTTTTTAGCAAACTGCAGTGTGAGATGAGCTACATTTTGCAAACCTAGACAACTCCTAGAAATTATGTTTGCAATTTGGGTCCAGATCCATCTTAAAATGGGGCCTGTTTTCTTCCATAGCACATCTGCTGCAGAGGGTACATTTATCTGTCATTTAAATTCCTTATCTGAAAAGACCAGGAATTATTTGAATTCAGTGAGAGGAAATGACTTCAAAAAAAACCTTTGTAGCTGCTTAAGAAAGAACCACAAGGCACACAAACATGGGAACAACCAGAACTGGAGAAAGGAGAATAACACGCATGATAATTCAACAGAGGAAGTTTCTAGATAAGTAAAATCCAAAAAGGAAAAAAAACCCCAACACCCAACAGCCATGAGATTAAATTGAATCAGTCTGAAGAATATCAGGTAACATTTTATTTTCCTCTTCCTTCACAGAGATCAGAAAGAAGAAATCAGAAAAAATAGTGCTCACAAACTGCTTTACTTTTTTTTTTTTTTTTTTTTTTTGCACTGTGAGATAATTTACTTTAAATATCAAGGGTCAGACAGTATAAAAGGACTAGGTTTGTTATTTACAGGGTGACTTGGATTCACAGTCTCCAGCCTCTGTGCCAGCCACAGTACCCTGCTAAGGGTGAGCATTGTTTTGGGAAAAGCAGGGAAGTCCTGCATTGGCTCACAGTTAGCAGCAGCCCTGGGTAGCCAGAGCAGCTCACTGCTCATCCCTTGTCTCTCTTGCAGGGTTTATCTCAACTGGTGATCGTGCAAGAACTGCACATGACCTTGCCTGTGATGTAATTTCACCTCAGAAGCAAGTCAGAAACACCCTCACCTTTTTCCCTGTTGAGGATCAGCCCTCAGCAGTCACAATCCGCTCCTCCCAAAGCAGGATCTCCGAAAGATGCCTGAGATGGCAGGAGAGCTCTTGCAGGAGGTTCCCAGCATACCACACGTGGCAGGGGATTTCCCAGTTGCCAAGGAGGGCAGGGCTGCCAAGGGTTGGGAGGAGGAGGATTCATTTAGGAGCTAGTTTTAGGTCATTGGTCCCAATAAACATTTGCTTGGCTGGAGTCCCTGTTGTAAGGAATGTGAAAAACTAAGATGCCAGGGCAGTGAGCAGGAAAGGGAGTAAATCACCCAGGTCAGAAGGTACAGAACGCCACTGTCAGCCTGGTTCCTAGCTTTCCCAGTGAGGTGGGTAGCCAGATGTAAGTATGGCACATAATGGCCATTTTATGTCATACATGAACCAGCAAAGTTAAGAAAAACAGGGCCTGAAAGGGTCTGTGCAAAGAGGTCTCATGCAGAAGAAGTGAGGGGAAAGGAGGAAGGGGCAGGAAAACTTGGAAAAATGGGGGTTGAGGCACAAGATACAGAAAGGCAGCCCCACAATGCCCCATTGCCTGAAGGAACAAACACCTTCAGTACTGCCAGCAACAAACATTCAGCAGTGCAAAAAACACCAGGTTACATTTCTGTGTGGGTGGGAGGGCAGCATGTGGGATTCTTTTTGGATTGGAGGACACAGCACTCCATCAGCTATGAACAGAGGGTGCTTCTCAATGAGACTCTTGATTTCTCAAAGTTGGGAGTATTGCAGTAAGTTAATGATCTAAAAATACATTTGGTAGCTCCATGAGAGAATTGAAGCGCGCTTTTATTGCCATGAGAGAACTGTGAATATTCACACCTGTAGAGAATGAATACACAGAGCAAATCTGCAAACAAACCAAATGACTTTCACCTGCAGCATTTTTTCCCTTCATCCTGTGTTAGCAGGATGTCTTAGTGCAGCAGTTCTCATGCACACATGCATACTGCCTGCTCTGAAGCCCACATACACCCCATGCCTTCAGGAAGCAATCCAAACAGCTGAGAATGACCAGGGTTTTTTTACAAGTCTCAGCTGACACCTAAACCTGGTCACAACCATTCCTGTCACAGACTCCATCCCTTCCTCACCCTTTCCCTGGCACCTCAGATGATTTCAGAGGGTGGAATAAACCTTCAGAAGCACAGATTTTTCTGATTTTTCATCAGGATTTTTCATGACCCTGATCAACATCATTCTGTCATCAGTCCAATCCTCTCCTTCCCCCTTAGTTCAGGCAGATAATCCTGGGGTTTTCTGGATGCACTGTGGCATTTTTGGAACTTCTGCACTGATCCACCATTGCCTGGTTTACTTGGTCACAGCTTTTATTTTTTTAGAACACAAATCATCAAGTGCAATGGGAGGGAAAGTTTAAGAAGCAGAAAGCAAACTTGAAGAACCCAAACTGAATTTTCTTGAGCTGCCATTTATGTAATAGGTCAATGGTATCGTTTGCAACTGGTTGGAGCAGTTAATACTGCAACAGTCTATTTAAAGTATTGCCAGTTTCTCTTCTCCTTCAAAATCCTGCAGCACTTTCCTCTATACTAAATGCAGTGCTGTAATCATACCACACTTAGATGGAGCAAAAGACCAGAGGAGGAAAATAATATTTGATCTTACCTGCTTCTATGGTCCTACAGTTTTCTCCAGGCAGAATGACCAGTGACATCCATGTTCAGAAGGCCTTGCTGGCCTCTGGAAGGTCCCAGAGCCAGTTGTTTCACCCATTTGCAGAGCTGCTTGAGTTTCAGAAAAAAAACTCAAGCAAGAGGCCCTTATGCAGGCGGGCAGCTATCCACGACCAAGAGTTATTGGAGGCGTTTGGCTGAGCAAGGACAGAGTCTCTGTGCCTGCTGTGTCCTTCCTGCTCCATTTTTCTCCTCTCTGCTGTTGCAGTTGGCAGGAATTTGCAGTTTCTGGCCAGTAGCAGAGAACCTAGTCTTTGCCATTGCTCCCTAACTTTGGCAGATGCTGATTCTCTTTAGATTTCTTTACATTTAGGTTTTACTGTAGCTTTCGGCAGGATAAACATAAAAACACCCAACTCTGCTGATGCCTTGTGAAGGCTGACCTAGAACAGAGGCTAGATAGAGTTAAAGAATAAAGTAGGTGTTTATTAAAAGGCCTCAATGGATGCACATAGGGCAGTACAAGAGCCCAGCTAGCGCTACATCTCCAAGATGAACCAAAATGGTCACAAAAATGGACAACCGGTCATGGGGTCTCTCACTTTTATAAGTTCTGATCTGTTTGCATATTGGAGTTAATTGTCCAACTATAGATTTAGGTTATTGTTTGTTTTTCTCTCTTCAGTCCACTGCTGTTTGTGCTCTTGGGCCTGAAATTTGGGTCGGTTGTTCTCGGTCCCAAGCTAGAAAAGGAATTGTTTTGTCTAGCTATTCTGTGAAGAGAGCTTACCATCCCTTAATATGGAGTTCAGAACTACTACACACTAAAGCAGTACAGAATCAGAAAAATATGAAAGCTAAAACCTAAGGAAACCTAACCTACCACCAAACTTCCCCCTCACCCCCTAGAAAACCAAACCTTAATCACTGACATACATGATCTGCATGGTCAATCCATGACTCAAGTCTCACAACAAAAGTGCTGAAGACTAATTTCCTTGTGGAATTTCTCAGAGTCCAGGGTCTCCAAGACCGTCACCACACCACTGAACCAGGGGAGTGGCTGGTCCGTCAGGATTGTCAGTTCTGAAGGCACAGTCATACAGAAAACTCCTTCTGTGGTGGAGGGACCCAACCTTTCTTCCTCATCTCTTCACCCTTATGTGTGCCTCCTCCTCTCCCTCATCACTCTGGCAAGGAGCTATTTGGCTGCTGAGTTTCTGTAACACACTGCATCTTGGTGCTTTAGCAAGATCTCTGTTACAGGATGTTACAGCCTGTCATTGCCCTGCCCCACATGTCCTAGACACAGACCTTCATTGTTTTCCCTTCCCAAAGACACAATCTTGAACAAGAGAAAAAATTCACTTCCATTTCTTTTTAATTAGTATTTTGGTGAATGTACAAAAACAAAGAATCAAGGCAGATGGCAAGCATCAGGACATGAACCAGTACATCTATGGAAGAGGCTTCACCTTAAAACACCCTACAGAGGAGCACATTTCTCACAATACATTAACTACTGAAGCATTCACTAGGAAAGACACCAGCTCAGTCTGGGCCAAAGTAAACAGCCTTTGTTGAACTGAGTGGAAACAGCAAGCGCTGATGCAAGGACTGGGTTTGGTTCAGTTAGCTCCTTGCTTGCATTTTTTCACAAGAGTTACTCACTGCCATTATTTGCCATTTGTCCTACCTGATCCAGGGACATGGAAGGGGAATGACACAGGGAGTGTGACCATTTACACACAGGCAGCTAAAGCAAGAAGCACAATAAACCAGGAGCATGGAACAGCCACATTTGCAAAGGCAACTGCAGCAGAGAACCCCCTGTGTTCTGCACAAATTCTGGCCCGTAGATGTATGAAATCTTGTGCAAAATAGAGAACAGCTTTTTTGAAGGAGCTGCTTGTTATCAGGTGGAGCTTTTCCTGGACTGGCACTTCAGAAGGTAGGAGCACATGCAGTAGTTTCATCAGTGGCAGGAGGTAGGCTTGCGTATAGGCAGCATAGTGCTGAGGAGAGAGCTAGCCTTTTCTTGGGCTTGCCTAGCAACAGACTGTCTATCTGTGACATGTTTTTATTGTTGACACACTTAAATGCTCAGAGAATTTGCCTTATTCTAAGGCAAGGGTGACAGAGACCAGCAAGAGAAGTTGATCAGTAGAATATAACAGAGATCTGCAGTCTTTTCCCTTGCAACATCTGTCCTTATTGGTCACAGGAGGTTACAGTTTTGCTCACATAGCCCTTCCTGAAGCGTTATAGTTTAAATTCAAACTAATTTTAGAGAGACATTTTTCTGGACCAAGTGTAAATGGACATTTTCTTTTCTGATGTCATCAGAGAACAAAGCAGATCACTTTTTTCTCCTCATCTTATGCTCCAGGATTTCTTGCACAGTGAAAGAAGGATTGTGCTTCAGGCAGGAGGCATTAAGGCTGCAGAACAAAGGGCAAAGGCAGGGACAAGAAGATTCTTTCCTGCAGAAGTCGTCACTTCTTTGTGTTGAGTTTTTGGAGGGGCAAAAGTATATGCAGGAGAGGTAGTGGGAAAACTTCAAATCCTCCATGGCTTGAGGAGAATGGAGTGGGAGACAAACAAATGCAGTTTCACATGGCTCTTCAGGACAGCACTGAGGACACCAGGCCTTCAGTATTCAATTCCACTCCAGTAGAACATGGTGCCAAGGAGGACGCAGAACTGAAATGACAACACTGTTATGTTTCTCTGCCCCCCATGTCCTGATCTCCACTCCTCCCCCAGCCCCATTTAGTCCTACTGGTAGGAGAGAGTAAAAGAAATTCTTGAAAATCAAAGCCTGTTCAGGCAGAGGATCTTAAAAGCTTTTTGTCTGCACAGAAGCTACACAGTAAAGAAAGAAGATACTTGCAGCTGTAACTATTTGGCTATCACTCTGCTCACTGGGGATTGTCATGAAGCTGCTGAAGCCTGAGTACTGAATACATTCATACAAAATCTTCAAACTACTAGCTCAATTAGCTATCTTGATGATCCAATACCCTTCACAAAGAAGCATCTGCAAGCTGTGTTTGCTGTGTTGTATTGCTGAGATGGCAGCAGGTAGCAGCAGGCCATGGCAGGCTGGAAGGCCATCTACTTCCCCACCTCTGGAAGCCAGAATGGAGGGGAACTTGTAAATGTAGCCCTTAGTGGAGCAGGCTACAGGCAGATTTGTGATGAATGAATGACGATAATCTATGGACATTTTAAATGCGTCAGTGCTGTCATCCACCTCCACCCAACTGGGTGTGGAATAGCAAGAGAAGAGAAGAGAAGAGGAAATAAAGGCAAATATTAAGTACTTACAGTCCAGCAGAGGATGGCAAAGCCAAACCAGGCAACACCCCAGGCATGTGCGTTCACTGGCCCAGACATGGCATCGTAACAACCCTGAAAGACAACAGGGATGACTGAACACCAACCATGAGCCTGCACTGCAAGGTGACAAACGTATCCACCCCCGAGAGAGGCTGAGGTGGCATGCTCCTCTCCTGCTGCTATTTGGGTAGCTCAGAGGGTCTCAAAAACCAAGCCAGAGCTACACTGCTTATTGACAACTTGCAGATAACCCACCTGTTTCTGGCTCCAAATACAAACTGGACCCATCTCACACACTTCAAGGACAACTTGCTGTGCCATCACTTGCCAAGTACACTTAGATAACCAAACACAGCTGACACAGAGTTGACCTCCAGAATCAAGAAGCATCAAGAAAATTTGAAAGCTTGAATGCCTTCTAGAAATGCAAGCTAGTGCAGAAGCTGATGCTCATGACTCAGCAGCCTAGTGAATAGGACATGATGGTCTACTGAAAAGTTGTTCCTTGAGGAGGAGAACTGCTGATTTTCCTACTCATATTGTATACTCTCATCTTTGGGCTAAGTTTGATTTAGCTACTGTCCATCTACATGTTAGAGATGTCACTTTTTACTAGTGGCTTGGGAGATTTCTCTCTCCATCAGGAAAGACTTTATCCTAAAAAAAAATTCCTGTCCTGTTCAGCAACATGGCCAGGACTCTACAGGCATTTCTTCTCGTCCAAAAAGCTTCTGAACACCTGTAGCTTGCAGTGAAGGAGAAAGGTTTCTTTCCCTTACAGCAAGGCACTGATGTACGGTCAGAGGAAAAAGCAGAGGTTATCTTACATTGCTGTTGTAGTAGCCAGACACTCCGAGTTTGCAGCCATCGAGGTTGACGGGGAGCCCTTTTGCATCCAGCACGCAGCACGCCCGTGGCCAGGGGTAGTCGGCGTCGCTGTGCGTGCCGCGGAAGGCAGACGTGTAGTTCTGCCAGTCGGAGGGGCCGTTCACCCCGCAGCAGTGGTTCTGCAGGGACACACAAGGGAAAGGTCTCTGTGGGCCCAGGGCACAGCCCTGCACGTGTCAGCACACTGGTTAGGCATTAATCACAGATTTAGGGGGGAGATTTCTGAAGTGCCTGCCTTTGACAGTCGGCCGTCTGATAAATGAGCTAAAGCGGGAGTGTGCCAGAACTTTCTTTAAGGTTCAAGGCAGATGCCATCCTCTTTATTATCCAGCAGCCCCAAGGAGGATTGAAATTCCAGGCTTGCAGAGCATTTAGTAATTAGTGACTTTTCAGTGTTGTTACCTGACGCATGAGTTCATCCCATGTCTTTGTGACCTCATTGTCACTGTTATTGTTTGGCTCTGACTTCTGATATCTCTCCAGCATTTGCTTCAGGAAGACATTTGGAGTCAGCTACAGAAAAAAAATAAATAAATAAACCAGAGAAAAATGCAGAAACTATGTAAATAAGTGGCCATGTAAAGCAAATCCAAGGTTATTTGGAGAGGGTTTGTTTTCTTGTTTCGGAGTCCTGCTGGAGAACAGGAATGTTGCTTCTCCTCTGATTTTACACATGAGAATAAAGAGCAGGATTTGAGGAGCAGGAGCAGCAAAGATGAAGATCTCAAGCCGGCACTACTAGATGTATATCACAAGAGCTGTGCAGAAGCTATGGATTGTATTTGGTATGTTGGAACTAAAGCACCACAGATAATTTCCCTCCCCACAGTATCTCCAATAATCCATGTAATCTTTCCCTCACCAGTAACACTGCCTGGGGCAAAGCTGAAGATTTTCTTCTCTGTGTATGATAGATTAATCAGTGGGTAGCTGAAAGACTAAATACTCTATTGATGATTCAACTAACCCACACTATTATTTCCTCAACCACAAGGTGTTAAACATTTTAAAATGTTAAAAATAACAAAACTATGTTCGAAAAAACAAAGCTATTTCTTTGATTAGAATAATGATGTTGGAGTTTTTTCTTGTGGGATTGTCTTCTGCTCAGCAGTAGTCCTGTGAGTTTACACTGTACCATCATATTTACTACAGTGAACAGGGTGACTGTGTGCCCTAGAACTTGTGTTTCTCAGCAAAGTTAAAAGAATACATGGGAAAAGAAATACTCACTGAGTCTTGGTTAGTCGCTGCTGTGATGCTAGAAGCCATTTCAAATGCAAAAGTGATCAGCATCAGAATGATGTACTGTGGGAGAAAGAGAGCAGAATGGGTTATTGGAGAAACAGTTCAGCATTTTTTTAAAGATTAAGCCAGAAACTCTGCTTGATGCAAAGGTGGCCAGGCTATCATATTCCCTCTCACCCAGCCTGAATGATCTCGTAGCCCTTCCCAGTGCTTGCTCCAATTTGCAATCTGCTTTCTTGAAGGTGAATGACTGGAATTGTTCTCCATCTCACAGACAACATTTCATCAGAACCTCATGGCATTAAGACTACCCTGCCTCCACAGAAAATACTTTGTCCTTTTCTTCGTTGTGTCTCATTGGCAACCTATGTTTGTGTCATGTGTCCTCCTTTCACTTCCACTTACCAGCTCTAAGCTTTTCAGCAGGAAGCTGTTCACTCCTGGCAGGAGAGAATTGTATTTTGGGGAAAGGGAAGGTGCAGCTTAGGGCATCATTCAGATTGTCCTGATTTTCATCATCAGATTTCCTGAACACTCCTACATTGTGAGCAAAGATCCTTCATGAAAACAGATTACAAGGGTCACCTCTCATAGTCTCTTTCACTCTTTCGTTTCTCTTTCCAGCATAATCCCTTTGACAGTTTCCATTTTTTCTTTGGAGTTCTTATATGTACCTGTTCCTCCTCCCACATTATATAATGTTCTTCTCTGATTTAAAGCATTTTTTCCTACTTACCTCAGTTTCTGTCCCTTGTATCCTCTCATAAATCCTAAACCAGAGCCTTGGGTTTCAGCTGAGGCAACAACATTCAGAGTTAAGGGAATTCTGTTTCCTCAGCTGTTTTCTGGCATATTCCCTGGCTCAAGAGTTCAGATCTCTGAGTTCCTCTTGTCTAAAACAGACACCCTGCAATCCCACAGTAATCCACAAGAGAGCTCATTTCAGAGTTTTCATCTCTACCCTTCGTTAATGCAAACACCAATTAAGTTTTGCCACTGCCATACTAAATGACTAAGTAAGACATTGTACTGAGATTTGTCCACATCTTAACCTTGTCTTTGGCTTATCCAAAGCTCTGTCCCCACCCCTGTAATTTCTGCCTGCCTGCTGATGTCTTATGTTCTTCATTGCACTCGTATTTGGTATCCTGACACTCACTAATGCCTTGTACAGAAGTCATTACTTATCAGCTCCTAAACTGAATAGTACATGACAGCTGAAAAGCGGTAAGGGGTGGGGAGAAACAAGGATCTAAACCACATCCCAGACACATGTGATTGCACAAGTGCTCCTGCATTGCTTCAGGGCAAGGTCAGGGTCAAGCCAGTCAAACCTTCACTGTGATTATCTCCATTTATTCCCTCAGCCTGGTTCAGGAGCTTCATGGGCATGAGTCTTCACAGGAGTCACCTTCTGGGATACCACAGCCATGACCAAGAAGAACCTTTGGCTCCTTATCAGTATAAAAGCTGTCTTTGTTCATTGGTTGTTTCCCAAGGTGACCAGGACACCAAGGCAGTGTTTGTTCAGTTTGGCAGCAGTAGGAAGGTAAATTTTGTTATGCTTACCACCAATAGCAAGGTCCTGCTGGCCTTGATGACTCCAATGATACCAAGGATAGACAGGGCAAAGAGTGCAAGGCCGACAAAGATGCCAATCCAGGCGGCAGCGTAGATGCCACTGCTTTCTGTGGCTTTCAGCAGAGGGTAGGCACCATGGGGGTTGGACACAACGTAGATACACTCTGCTGTCAGGGCAATGCCACACATCTGGCAAGCACAAGAAACCCATTAGCTCAAGGTTCCCCAAAGAAATAGCAAAGACAGAAACAGGTGTAGGCTGCTTTCCTTTAATTCAACTTCCTGCCAAGTGGGAGATATCCAGCTCCCTCTGCCCAGCTCTACAATCTCTTGTATTGGGACTTCACAGAAGAATTGCAGGCAAATCTCACCCAGCCTTGATCTGAGAGGTCAGGCCCAGGACTTGAGGATGTTAAGAAAGAATGAACAGAACCCTCCATTACCATAGGAGGGAGGTGGCTGGAAAAATGTTGGTCTGCTCCTGCTGACAGTTCTAAGGCTTTTCCCCTAGCACCTATCTTGGTATTGTGGATCTGCCCCTGCTGTCCCTTTCCCACCCAACTGATCATTAGGCTCTCCTTATCCTCTTCTCTCATGCTTTACTGGACCATGTATGTGTGTATTTCACAAGTGAAGAGGGAGAACTGCTGTTTTAAGAAGTGTCATACTGGAAGGAAGCCTCCACCCATTCTTGTTCCACTTCACTTACCCCAATGACCACATTCCCAAAGACTAACAGACCCTGCAAGATGTGCATGCAATCATCACTTTTCGCCATCTTTAATTCTTCATGCAACCTAGAAAACAACAAATACACTCTTCAATTAAATCACTGGTACAATACACTTCAATCAGAAATACAAATTATCCACGAGGAGAAGGGCAGACAGAACTTGCCAGCCTGTCTGTACACCTCCGATCCCTTGCTTTGTAGTAGTTTCAGAGGAGACCTCCCCAGGTGTTAATCTGCTAACTCAAACTCTCCCTGATACTGGAGCTACAGAAGACTGGGACCACTTTGGGGACAGCTGGTGTCTTCAGCTCCCTTTTGATGAGGGTTTTCATCCTCACAACAGCACTCACAACAACCTCTGCTCATGGGGTGTAATTTCTACCTGGCCAGAAACACCAGCCCCATCTGGATGCAGAGGGGACAAGTTCAGCACCCTCACTTCACCCCCATTCCTATCCTTGGCCATTTTGAGCAGCACCACCATGGGACTGAGCTGGTAACCACAGTGGTCTGGCTGTATCCCACACACACTTTCAGCACAGGGCTTTGCTACCAGCAGCCCCATCTCCCACCCGTGCTGGGAATGGGAGCAGAGTGCCCCAAGTCAGGTGTGAGGGAGGAAGAGAAGGAGAGAGGGACAGCTCAAGTTGCAGCTGGCTCATGGGAGGCAGGCCAAGTAGCATTCCCACCAAATTCCTGAGAATGCTTATATCCTGCAGTCTAGAGTCAGGTGCCCTGCATCAAATTCATCCCCTTCCAGAGAGTGCAGCATAAAGGCATCAGTCAGAGGTGTGAGAGCTCTTGGAGAAAGAAGCTCAGACACCACAGCCCACCAAGTTTTTCTTTGAAAGGGATGTGTGCATGGAGAGGGTAAGGGGAAAAAACCCAATCCTGAGACAACTGCATTTACCAAAGAGGTTAAGAAAATATAAACCAGGAAAGAAAGGCTGCAGTGAGCCCAGCTTGAGCAAAAGCTGCTTGAATGTCCTTCTTCTGCCTGAGTACCTGCACTTGTGCCTCTCTTTTGCTGGGGCCACTGACTTCCTGATTCTTCAAAGAAGACGTTGGGATATATGAGCAGACAAAGCTGTCAAGGAAGGGGAGCTTTCTGAGGAACAGAACATTGTGAGATGTCTCTAAAAATGCCATCTCCTGCCTCCTCAGCAGCTGCCCTTCTTGGGGTATGCAGGACCTCCAACAGTGGCAGATGGAAACCAAGCACTTTGTACTGCTCTCTCTGCAGTGGTGTGAGGGTTAGGCATGCAGACATCTCCAGAGCTGTCACCATTATATTGGCAATGCCTAAGTATTTTTGTATGATAGCATGTGTAGGAATTTTTTAATAATATGCGGCCATTATTTTCAAGTTGAGAAGACTTTTTAGTCCCAGCTGGGTGTTTGGAGGCCAGACCCAGTACACATCAAACTGTGACCTATATTTGAAAATGGCAGGCTCATAAGGTCAACCTGGATCTCCGTCCCTGCCAAATTTCCTGACAAGCCGGGGTGTCCAGGGGCTGTCTTGCAGGTCAGGTCTGAGTCTGACCAATGTTCAGCCATGTGTTCTGTAATACAACACTGCAAAGTCTGCCAAACCTAAGAGGAATCCTGGTCTCCCACTCATTTGAGAGCTGGAGAGAACACTGCCTGGCTCATGGGTCTGTGTCCTGCAAACCCCAGAGACGCTAAAAAATCTTTCAGTTATTGCCATCTAAGGGACATTGCAAGCCAGGCAGCAATCCAAAAAGCAAGGAACTCTTTCCTGATTGAACACAGGCAGGTAAACTCTGCTACATGGAAAAGTGGGTCTGCTCCAGTTGCACTGTATAAAGCAAGGTTGAATGTGTTACCCTGTTCAGGGTAACAACAGCACTGACATCTTGTACATGGACTGTCCATCCAGCCCAAGCTCTTGCCTCTCCACAAGCTGGCTTTCTTCTTCTCCTTGGCAGGCAGAACCTGCCAAGATCTCCCCTTGGGCAGGTATTTTTGCAGTTATATTAGCTGGAGAGAGCAAGCCTCTTCTCTTGGGGTGAGCCCACCACCAGTGGGCTGCTATGGCTGTGAGGAAAACTGGACAGAGTCACCACCACAGGTATCAGCTGGAAAATGGCAAGCTTCCTGACAACCTAAGGTTCTCCCATACCTTAACTAGGCTCAATGGGATTGCAGGGCAGGGGGAAGCAGAGAGACCAAGAAGAGGAAAAGGGAAGGATGTACTGTAGACCTAAAACCTCCCAGTCTTGCCATATTTCTATGAATTATCCCTCTGCCTCCAAGTGATACGGGCCAAAGGAGCTCATTTCTTGGTTTCCACTTTATTAACCTGTGCCACATGGGTCAACCCCTTGTCTGACCTCCTCTCCCTTGCAGGTGGTCCAGTATCACCATCAGCAATGAGAGCACCTCCCAGGCAGGTGCTCCAAAGCCATGACAACAGCTGGGCAGCTGGAGAGCCAATCCTCCAACCTGTCCCGGAGGAGAAGCTGTGGGAGACCAGGAGCTTTCCTCTGCTCCTCATGCCTCGGAGGTGAGCTGTGTTCAGCAAGAGTAGGTTGCACAGCACTAGGCACAGGTGCATGACCACAGAGCCATGAGGCCAGCCTGGCTGGCGTGCCCGAGGCAGGCTGTGCACAGAGACAGCTCACAGGCACCTCTGGGTGTGACAGTGGCAGGCAGCCCTCCACCAACCCCCAGAGACACAGCTGCCCACAGGCACAAATGCATTTGGAGGTAGAGAAGCCTTCTTCTTGGGCTTGTTAAAATTAGTGTTATGACCCAAATGTAGTTTCCTGGGCTTCAAGGAAATCCCTGAGGAAATGGGAGCTTCAGCTGCAACCTTTATCCAAAACTTCCACTAAGAAGGCAGCCAGGTCCTGGAATTTCAACCTTGACCTGGCGTTCCTCAGCACATCCTAGAAACCTTGTAATTTAGGTGTGACCTATCTAGGTCTGAGGTATTCAATTATCACTGCCACAGACTTTGCTCCATGCTCTAAGCAGCTTTGGAATGGTGTCTATTGCTCTCATTGTACCAAAAAACCCTGTGTCCCTCCTGAGGAACATCTTACTCCTCCTGACACTGGTCACAAGCAGTACAACTGGTTATAACTTCTCTCTCCTCTCCCTTTACACCCCCAAAACACTCCTTACCCTCATGGGGGCCCAGGTGAGCCTGCCATAGCCCAGGAGAAGTGGTAGCCTTGCCTCCCCCTGGTACCCCACAAGGTGCAGACAATCTATTATTTCCATGCCCTTGAAGCTTTCTTGACCTCCCCTCACTTCCTTTACCCTCAGTATCTCTGAGACCCTCAGCACAACTGTGGGAGACAATAAAGAAGCTCCTTTCTGCAGAGGCTGGCTTCTGCCCTTGTGTTTTGGGCGATAACCTCATGCAGGCTTTGAAAGGACACTCTTCTGGCAACAATTCCTGGATTCAAATGGGATTTAGTGTCTGTTGTGCACCTCTTGTACACATTGTGCTGGTCAATCTTTTGAAGCCTCCACACCCTGTTTCTATATATCCCTGGGACAGGATTTCAGTGGCCTTGCGGATTATTTCCCCCTTCTTAGCCTAGCTCTACTCCATCTCTAGCCAAAAAAACTAATGGATGGGAATTCATTTGGCATTGCCCACCACAGAACCAGGTGGCATTTTGATTGCCTTGCGTTTTGTGCTAGTTGTCCAGCACTGTGACAAAGGGACATCCCAAAACATCCCTGTGAGCATCATTGGCATTGCACCCCACTCCTGGAGGTTTCTCAGCATGGTGGTGGGGCTTGTATGTGCTTCACATCACCCCTTGCCACCTCCCTTTCCCTCAGCGTCCCTGCTCAGGGCGTTGCATTCTCATGCCCCGGTGCAGGGAGGCAGAGACAAAGGATGCGTTTGTTTTGTGACTCACGGGCTCTGCCCCACTCGAGCGAGTGCAGCTGAGCAAACCCGGCTGCCCGGCAGCAGAATCCTGCTCCCTGCCCGCACAGCCCGGGGCAGGAGCCTGGGCACCTCCCTCGTGTCCCAGCCCCTGGAGAGCGTGTCCCTGCAGGCAGCAGCAAGGTGCCGGGCCAGCCCTGGGTGCTGATGGAGGGAGGGCACCCAGGTGGAACCGCTGCTGGAGGCTGTGCCAAGGCCAGGGCCAGTGCCATGGGAAGCTGCCCTGAGCCACAGACCGCCTGCGGACCCCGATGCATCAGCAATAAACTTACTTTTGGGGTTTTTTAAAATTGGTTATGATGGAAAATTTATCCCCTAAGGGGCTTAAAAAGAAGGTATTTTCCAAGTGCTTGGGACACCTCGAGAATTACACAGTTATTAAGAGGAAGTAATTTAATATGTTAATGATGAATCGCTTGAACTCCACTGTAAGAAGCTGAATGTTCTACAAATGTCAGTTGATCAGTTGTTTACTTATTTCAAAGCAAACATCTCCAGTGGACACAAACTCATGCACTCCTGCCCTGCTGGACTTTCCCCAGTGCTCCACCTCTGACAGAAAACTTCTTGTGTGCTAGGAGTCAACCACACTCAGAAATGGAAGAGGCAGACAATTATTTTGTGCTACCAGAGGAGAAAAATAAAGCAAAAACATAGCTCAGCATCAAGCAGGGGTCACAGACTAATTAAGTTTCCTTTCAAAGAGGTTGGTACGAAATGAAGCCTGTGTGAACAGTGGCGTGGCTGGTAAATCATCATCAAGCATAATTACCTTGTAAGTAGAGCTGGGAGGTAGGTTTTTCCTCTCTCCTTTATTAATTCAGCACAGCCAAAACAAGCAGGTTTTTTTAACTTTCCTATTTTCACAAGTGAGGGGAACTACAAGATTCATCTTCCTCTACAACAATTTTTCCTTTTTTTTTTCTTTTAACACTCAGATTTACAACAGATTTAATTTTTCCATTCCCTTCTCCCCAGTCTTTAGGAGAAAAAATATGAAACAAATGAAAATACACATAGAGAAGACACAGCCTGAGGTAAGAAAAATTAAATACTTAACAATTTCATGCAGTTAACCTTATCCAGGTACCAGACTCCCACATACCAAACACAGCCCAGGGACTAAAATAAAAAAAACCATTAAATATAAGAGCTGTCTTTTCTCCTAATAGACATTTCTGGCTCACATGCCTCTTTAAGAGGAAGACCATGACCAAAGGAAGGCACTCACCGCTCTCTTCTCGTGATGCTTCCAGCAGAAACCCCAACCCACCTGCAGAGCTGAAAAGGCCCTTTTCTCCCACCTCCGCCGCCCTTTAAAGAGCCCAGTTTGCTGAGGAGCGTGCTGTGTGATTGGTGGGGTGCCCATCACATGAGGAAAACTTTTTTTTTCTAGCCAAACCTGTTCCCCAGTCCTCCTGGGACCGAAGGGTGTCTCTGTGATTCTTAGATCATATCGGAATGTCGTTGTGCTGAAAACACAAAGCTTTAAAGAATTTCTATTCTTATACTCTCAAAAGGGTGGATGAGTGAGTCACTCATATGAGGCACTTGAACTTTAAAGAGGATGGGCAAATTGGAAGGACGTAAATACATGAAGATTGCTGGGTCACTGCTTCAACGTAGGTATAAGAAGAGTGCACTGAATAGAAAAATAAAGTAAATTAATTTTAATGTTTTTATTTCATTATGTAGCACAGGAATGATCCAGTTGTTTGGGTTGGATCCATTTTCGTTTCATTCAGCTTGGGATTTTTTTTGGAAACAGAAATGTAAGTGTTGGCTACTCTGCAGGACACTGTGGATGACATGAAAAGTGGGGGGAATATTTCATTTCCTTGGGCATTCTGGATTTTTCATGTAGTCAGTCTTATTAAGACAGAACAAAATGAAGAACAGATATATCTATTCATTGGCCTGTGATGAACTGAGAACAGCTATGGCTGAGGAACAACAACAGCAATGGAATGTCTTTCACCTTCCCCTCTCACCCTCATTCCAGCACAAATTTGCCAAAAGTCAAGATTCACATTACTGGTGTCTTGAACATGTCTCTGGCAAAAGCACGGGTGGTTGTACTTGTTCTTCATCTGCTGATGCAAAAACCAGCCAAATAAATAACAGGCTTGGGAAAGGTAATGGGAGTTCCATGATGTTAGAGCCCATCACAAGTCAAAAACAAGCACGAAAATAACATCTATATGTCCTATTGGTGGCAATCCTGGCAAATATTTGGTGTGAAATTAGTGAGCAATGGTTCACTAAAGGGTCTTACGGATTTCTTGGTACTTGAAGACAACTGAAGAGAGATCCCACTCTCCCACGTGAGGTCTGTGTGAGGTTTAACCCTGAAGAAAGGACAGTACTTTTGGCATTTCCAGTTCCATGAGGTACCACAGCCATAAGCAAAAGGAGACACATCGATTGCAGCCAGCCTGATCTACTAGAAAGGGACAAGAAAATAGTCCCTTGGGTCCTCAAGAATACAGATGCAGATTTGTCTAGACTTAAATGACTCAGACCTCCTTGCCCACTAATTTTGCTCCCTAAAACCCATGCAACCTATTTTGGTGTATTTGCCACCCCGTATTTTGGCAATGCTGGTGGGACCAGGTGTTTCACACCAGCTGGTGTCCTGGGCTCTAGGAAGGCAGGCTCACATCATTTTTCTTGGACACTGAGAGCAGCTGGCAGGGGAAAAGCAGTGCCTCCATCTCCTGAGCATCATAGTTGGGCTGATCTTGGGGCAGTGATTGGACAAAAGCCTGCCATGGTAAAACACCCCATCACATCTCAGCTGGGAGGAGAAAAGAGGCTGCAACTGTGGAAATGCTCTCTTGGGAAAACAAGACGAAGAAAGAGAGGAGAAGAAAGGGGAAGCTGGCAGTGAAGTTCATAGCCTTGCCAATCACCAGAACTGCAAGTAGCTGCTGGAAGAGAACCCAGGTGCAGCTGAGCTCTTGCAGCTCTGTAGCCCTGTCCAGGGCACTGCAAAAAGCTGTTAGAGTGAATCCTTGTTTGGGCTGGAAGAGTGGCGCAGGCTGGACTGGGTGGTGGTCACCCTTCAGCTGCTGTTACCATTTGGCTGTCACAGTTTGTTAATTTGGTATAGAATGTGGGTAAGAATATTTTTTAAGGTCTCTGGAGAGAAATCTGATATAGGAAAGGAGAGGCTTGGAATGGGGGTTTTGTTTGTTTCTTTGAACTTCTTTTGGTGTGTGCCAACAAGGTGAGACTATGAGTTTACATGAATGCCTGTGCAGAGCAGAGGGTCAGACAGACACCTTGTCTGGGGAGGGAGCACAGTGGGGCTGACAAGCCAGGGCTGGGAAGCCTGGGAAGCCCCCATTCCCACAGGGATACCTCCAGTGGGGTGCCTACAGCTGTTTTAGCCTCCCCTGTAGGACTGTGTCTGTGCTGGACCAACACTTCTATACAGACAGATCCATGCATTTGTGTGTGCTCTTGCACATGGGAAAGCTCCAGACTGTTGAGTGTGCACACCAACACTTCTATCCAGCCAGATCCATACATTTGTGCAACCGCTTGCACTTGGGAAAGCTCCAGACTGCTGAGTGTGCACACCCTTACATAGAACCAGACGTGTGTACATGCACAGGTATAAACTCATACACGTGTGTGCTTTGTGTATCCAGCCACATGTGTGCACATACGTGCACATCTCTGCTGCGAGTAAGTTAAAGGCAAAGTGGGACTTGGGAGTGAAGACATGCTGCCATTTGGGGTTTCATCTGCAGGGATGGTCAGATGCTGAAGCCACAGCCTGGCCTATTTTCAGATGGAGGTGAAAAATGGATTTCTCAAGAGATCTATCACTTGGTTATTGTTACGTGCTCAGCGGGTGACAGGGCAAAGTTAGAACACGCCTGTCACAAAGTATGCTGTGTTTATTCAAAATTGGTATGGAAGGCATGCTAGAGGATGCCCAAAGCTGCTGAGAAGGGCTGATTAGATGTTGTGGTTAGTTCCAGTGTGTTGGTTCCACTCTTCACCTCTAAGAATACTTTCCCGTCTTCCCGAATCCTTTGAATTTCTTCTCTTCGTAGTGCGGAAATAATGATTTAAGGCTGACATAATATGAGAGGGAGGAATTAGGGAGGGAGCGAGCACACAGAGAGGAAAAGGAGCTTGTGGTCAAAGTAGCAGACTCCCAGGAGTCACCTCTGTGACCCCCTCATGCCGGTGTCACGACAGAGCCTCTGCCATCCGTGAACAGGAGGCTCCTCACTGCATTTGTGGTGCTGCACATTGAGATTAAAGCTCATGGCTGAAGGACCAGGCTTGGGAAATCCCTTGTCCCCACCAATGTGGCTTCAGTGTTGGCCAAGCCTGTGCTCCCATGCACAGGTTCAGCTTGACACACACTGTCTGTTTGGCCCAGGGAGAGGACTTTTTTAATGATTGTCCCTCCAGTATACAGTGGCAAGTTCATGGCAGCCCTGCTGGGAGTAAAGCCAAGCATCCCTGTTGCAGCTTGCTGCAGAGTGGCTGCCACCTTTCCTGGTAGAGTCCCGACCTCATCAGCTGGGTCAGCAGCCTCCTCCTTGAGGGCACTGCTCCCAGTAGCCCCAGCCCCAATTCCTGCCACCCAGCTTTGCTCCTGCGTTCCCGGCAGGGCTGCGAACAGCTGCTTCCCAGTCCGCAGTTTGACCTTCCTTCCCTGGGCCAGATTTGGGTTTGAGGCTTGTGCCTGCCACCCAAGCCCTCCACGTGCCATGGCCAGGAGCCAGCTCCTCCTCGGAGGAGAAGGGAATTCCTAATGGCTCCTCCTCTCCCAGCTCAGTGCCGCGGCACAGGGGGTGAGGATGCAGGCGGTGGGGGACAGATGTCACGGTGCCTCTTGGGTTTGCAGCTGGCCTGGCCCCCTGCCAGCCTTGCATCCCACCTCCCCAGTGGAGTCCTGTCTTTTGCTACAGCTGCCTCCCCCTTTTGGCAACATTTTTGCCCTTTTTTGCCACTTCTATACCTCTCAGCCTCAAGAGAGAGGAATAACTGTGGGGTGCAGAGAATAAATAAGTGAATACCACCTAGTGAGATCAGGGGAGAGCAACTCTGTCTCTGAAATTGTTTACCAAACAGTGCTGAGTGTGGGGAGACAAATGGCATACCATGAGCAACAGCCATGGGCTAATTATAGTGGGTTAGGATAAACCACCGGGCCACTGGGCTGGCCACCCCAGCTAAACCTGCAAACATATAGGCTGAAATGCTGAACTGTATATATATTTTTATATATATATATTTAGTATGATGTGGAACGCAGTCAGTAACTTCTGTCTGAAACTTCAGCTACCTTGGCAAAGAGTGTTACAGAGAACACAGATACGAGCACCTTTGTGATGCTAGCAATCCTGGAGTTTTGCATTTAGCAATTCTTCATTCCTAAGAAGAGTGCTCATAGGGCACACTCTCAAGGACTGGGGTTTTTTGAGTTAAGAGAGGGATGCACCTTATCTTCCCAATTTTGTACGATAGCTTTATTCATGAGCTTATAACTACATCTGCATTTCAGTATCATTAAAACTTGCAATTTTGGGTAGTTGCGTAAAGCCCAAGCTACTGCAATCATGAGATTGCATGAAAATTTGTACTTTCAGCCTTTCAGAAGAGAATGTTCCTCCTGAATGTGAGCAAGCAGAAAGGACAAACAACTTGGGAGAAAGCTGCTCTGTCTGATAAAGAACAGAGGTCAGGCAGGGACCTGCTTCCCCAGGGAGGTTTGGGCTAGTATTCATAGTGATATTTGCACGAGTGGGTAAAGGCAATAACAAATTAAATCTCGGTACTCCACTGCTAACAATTAGACCAGCTACTCTTGCTCCCTTCCTCAGTGGTCTCAACCCAAAAGCATAGAGAAATAGCGGATTCTTGTAAAGATTAATCCTTATTGGCTGCTACTACTGTTAATAAAGGAGACCCTCAGGGTGCCTTCTTGTACTCACTGAGTGAGATTTGGGCTCTAAATCTCACCCTAAGGATGTCTCTTACTGTGCTGACTACGAAGGGAATTTGTAGGAGAGCCTCAACACATGCCCAAGGCCAATTTCTGCAGAGGAAAATCCAGACCAAAGGATTTGCATCTTAGAGCTGCTGATCTCACCCAGGTCTTTCAGCAGCCCACAGGTCACATTTTTGTACACAGAAGAAGCAGAAGATAAAACAAGCACGGAGGAGCATGGGAGAGTGCAGAGGTCAAGCTGTGCCCTGACTCCCCTACCACCAGCAGGAGTTTCTCCTGGCAG